AGAATAATGACGCGCAATTATTGGTATGGTTGGCTCGGTCTAAAGACCTCCTATTGTTGCGTCATGCGCCCAAATTTCAAAAATTGTGATTTCGTGATTCGTTCAAAAATGCAATAAATTTTTAAAAAAGGCTTACCGCTAAATTTAGTAATGATCCTAGCGTTCAAATTCCTCATAGCAATAGTAAAGTAAAAGAAAAGAACTCTATAACAAATAATTTTTTTGAGAAAATCTCTCTATTACATTAAAAATAAAGACATATTCTATCAACTAATAGAGCTATTTTTTTAAAATGTAGGACAGAAAATGACTACTATACTTTTAAAATTTGCCCAAAATTTAGGAAGTCTTTAGACCGAGCCAACTATATTAATATTAATATTAATTCGTGGTTCGTCGATCAACAATAGAAACTCGCTAATAAAAACTGGACGATCGACATATATAAAAAATGTATCAATGACAAAGTTGCATATTATGAAATTTTGTACTTAGATTATGCAAAGTCACATGAAATCATGCAAGCTTTGTGGGTAGGAACTTGGGTTTCAAAATGTAGCTAGCTTTAATGGTAATTCTCAACTATTTTAATGGTAATTTTATTATTTTAAATTCAGAAAAAATCTTGTTAGTATTAGAATTATTCATTGTTATAAATTCAGTTTAGCATGCTGCAGAATAATAAGTGATCCAACTTTGCATAGCATTCATTACCTGTGTGAAAAAAAACTTTGCAAAATGATAATTATTTTTTAGAAAATTTTGTTCCGCCTTCGTCCTTTTTCAAATTGACTATAGAAATTATTTATTACCAAAATTATTTCTTTGAAATAAATTTCTTTTATATCGGGCTAATAAGGAAAAATAAATACAATATGTGGTATATCCATCTAATGGCTGACAGAAGGTCAATATGCTAGATCTTTATTTAACGTGGGTAAAAAAATTTACTCCGGTGCAAATTCTCAAAAGCAGAAGCAACTAAACCTCATTCACAAACTTCTATTTATGTAACCTTTTACAACATACAGTATATATTTTTACTATTTAGGAAAAATTGCTTTCCGATGCAAAATGGTAAATATAATGTAAATCAAAAGTCTATAATGGTTATTATTGAAAAATAATTTATTATTGTTATATTTCTAAAAATCTGAAAACGGGGGGGTTAATTTAATATCAATATAAATTTGAAATATATATATATATATGAATTTTTATTTTCTTTAAAAAAAAAATAATGGACAATTTTGGATTCCATGATCTCTCTTAAGTTTAATACCCTGGATCTGCACAGAATTGGCAAATTGACTGGTCCATTGACATTAATAGAATACTAAATATGATTAAAAAGTGTTATGCTAATGGACCCAATAGACCACCAATGAACCATTAATGGACTGCACATTTGCCAAACCCTTGGATGGTCTGCATATTAAATTTCTACTTAATAATGTAAAATAAACAGAATGTTATATATAATAATGATGCATGTAATTGTAATAGTCAGCAATACATCCACAATTTAATCCAACATACTGCTAGCTAGCTATGTCTTGGCAAATACTAATGATTAAAGGTTATTTGTTAATGACTAATTCTGAAGTCATCATTCTTTAATCTTATAAATGACCTCATTCTTAATTATTTTAAAATTACTTCAAATAGGTATAAAAGATCTTTGATTTGGAATTGAAAAACTATCAAACTTGATGATTATTAATAATAAAAATCAAAATCAAAAATATTAACAGATCAGAAGAGAATTCTAATGAGTTGTCTAAAATTATTTAATTAAAATTTAAATGTTAATAAATATTGACTAAAGCAGAACAAAAAAGTAGAAAAAAAAAGAGCCAATTCAAATATTAAAAGAATTGATCTTGCCCAAGAGTATGAAATATATACACAATCCGTTTCTAATATATATATTGAAGCAATCTTCTCAATGGTTAAATTATGATGCAAGTTCTTCAAGTGCTAGTCATCTATATAGAAATAGAACTTCTGATTATCCTGATATTGAAGAGGCAACAAGAATATGGGTCGACCAACTTTTGGCTAGAGATTTAACATTAAGTGGTCCTATTATTTCAAGAAAAAGCAAAAGAATTTGCTAATATTTTTGAAATTGATAATTTTAATGCTTCTACAGGATGGTTAGCTAAAATTAAAAACAGAAATAATTTGCATAGCTATAAAAAAAGAGGCGGATAAATGAGTGCTCCTATTCATGAAATTGCTTCAACTTCAAGAAATCTTACAAGAATATAGTCCCGATGATGTATGGAATTGTGATGAGAATGCATTATTCTGGAGGTTAGAATCTAACAGGAAAATTGCTCATGCACCACTTCTAGGAAGAAAACGTCTTAATGAACGTATAATTGCTATGCTTACTTGCAGTTCAACTGGAGAAAAGCTTCCTTCCTTTTTATTCATAAACACGAAATCCGAGATGAATTCACTTCCAGTTGGTATAATTGGAATACTAAAACATGTATGCAAAGAAACATTACCTAGAAAGGTTTAATAGTAAGATGGTTAGAAATATAAACTTGCTCTTAGATAATGCAAGCTCTCACAATGCCGAAATTACATCTATTTTATCAAATATTAAAGTTCATTTTCTTCCTCCTAATACTACATCTATTCTACAACCTTTAGACCAAGGAATAATTTATAGTTTAAAGGTAATTAATTAATCGAATATATTTTTTTATTTTAATATAATATAAATTAATTTAATTAATTTTCAAATTTTTTATTCAAAATGAAAATTAGAACGTATCAAGAAGCAGCAATGAGTAATAATAACCAAATTTCTGAATTTTGTTTTGATGCTTGGAAACAAGTAACAATGAAACGATTGAAAATAGTTGGGAAAAAACTAATATAATTAATCAAAATACAACAACTGATTTGATGGTTGACGAAAATCAATCAGAAGTAAATGAAATAAACAGTTTGGTCACTCAACTTCCGTTTCAAGATCATTTATATGTCAATGAACATGCTACGATTGACAATCTTCTTGTTCGAAAAGAAATAACAACACAAGAAATCGTAAATATTGTAAAAGGTCAAAATGAAGTTGATGATGAGAATTATGAAACAGGTGAGCCTGAGCCAATGATCACTAATATATAAGCTATAAAAGCTCCGGAAATTGCATTTAAATATGCACAGCAAAAAATTTAGATATTGATTTTCAAGTAATTAGAATGTCAAAAGATTAAAAAGTGAAATTTCCAAGAACCAGTGTTGTGTCCCGAAACTCTGAGTTTAGGGAAAACCAGAAACAGAAACTAACAGAAACCACCCGAAACTAGTTTATGTTAGTAGTTTATGTTTATGTTTAGGTTTAGGTTTAGTTTTCTGCTTAGTGTAAGTTCATTTTCCGAAACGTTTCGGGAAGCCAAAAGAGTTTCTGGTCACAACACTGCCAAGAACAAGTGCAAACAAGAATGGGAGATTATTTTATATAATGTCAACGATTTAAATGAATGAATTGTTTTTTATCAACTGTATTTTATTATTATTATTATTTGCATTCATATTATTATTTAAATAAAATTTATTTTTTAACGTATCACATAATAATAATTTAATCGAAAATTACGGGATATTAATATTAGTCGGTTTCGAACAAATTTCCTGAAACAAACATTCCATTATGCCGAGACAATAAATTTTTTTGCCAATCATTCACGGTGGCGAGTACTAAAAAATAATTTTTTGAAAAATTCTATAACACACTATTTTTTTAAAAGGTAGGACAGAAATTTAGACCGAGCTAACTATAGAATAAAATATTATTGTGACGCGTTATTGATTTAAAAGGAATTAATTGACAATAATCTGCTAATAATACCATTTACGCTGTGAAATTCTTTTGGTTTTCGATATAAATATATAAAAAAAAATTTATTATGTTTTACTAAGGGATTCACAAACTATTTTTAGCTTTACAAGGTTTTTTTGAAATCTTTTCTAATAACAAAGAACTTTTTTTATTACCGTATGATTGGATACATGCTGAATATGACTTTATGTTAATTTCGCCTTATGAAAACTAGTTTTTGGCTTGTATGAGGCGAGTGACTTAAAAGACAGATATTGCTGATAATTATATATAATCACACGGCCTAAACTCTCTACCCTTAAATAAGTAATAGATTTAAAACTTATCATGATATTTGGTAATATTTCGTAATCTTAATAATATTATTACGTAAGAGTTTCAAAAAAAAATATTAATGATCTAATATTAAATCGCTACTAACGTTACACGCTATTTTCAAAAAAATTAAAAATTTCGATACACTATATAACACTGATTGTATATTATCGGCTACCGTTATCGTACTCCAATCTCTCGCTTGCGCAGAACTTTCATGTGATTGAATTAGATAGTCAAACTTAATTAATTCATAGATAATAAATAATTCTAAAAATATTCCTATATTTACAGCTCATATTAATATAATGGCCCGCAAAGATCAAAATATGCAGCGATTGATCGCTAACGGAAAAACACACACGTATACATTTTAATATCAATGATAAATATAGTAAATATGTTTCAAATCATATAGTACAAGTAAAGGGATTAAATCCTACTAAAAAAATTTACGGCTATTTTAAGCAATCATAACAAATCCTCTACTCCTTAAACCTATTTTTTTTTTCCTTCAAAAAAACCATTCTTATTAAATAATTTCCAAGGAAACATCACTTAAAACTTTTAAAACGATAAAAAAAACAAAAGCAGATCGCAAAGAATAAATCATCACCAAGAAAATCGTCAATGTATTAAAAATAGATATTAATATACGACCCCTACAACCGTATAGAATATATGCGCCAGATGTATTATATAAATACACCATTACAATTTTTGTTTTATTTTTCCCTGAATTTTTATTTTTATTTTTTTCAATAATTAATTCCTGTTTTTAAGAAATAATTATCAATATTTAAAAATTTACATAAAACATATGAATTCTGAAATATTCCTATATATTAATGAAGCACAGCTTGATGATGATGAGACTCACCTTCTTTCCAACCCTCCTTGTGAACTCTATACACAAATCACAGAATTTATTTCACCTAATCCTAATAATATCAATCATTTAGGTACCCCAAAACCTCAAAACCCTTATATCTTATACCGTAAAAACAATGTTGTAAAACATAAATCACTTGGGAGTAAAAAGGATTGGGAAACTCTTTCAAAGGAAACTGGTGGTTCCTGGAAAAATGAATCGAACAAAGTAAGAAGTTACTTTAAAGTGTTGGCAAAACTGGCTTTTGAAAAACATAAATCAATCTATTACAGTAAATGCAACAATCCATTACCAAATGACTATATTTTCATTACACAACAACCAGTACAACAACTACAAAAAAAAATTTCTCATAATAACGATTGTGCAGTCTCAGTTTCATCACATTCTCCATACACTCCTTTTCCTTACGCAAATGATAGTCCAAGCTCGCTATCTTCTACGTTTTTTAATTCACATTCTACTTCGTCTCATTTTATGGATCAACATCTACAAAATCAAGACAATAAGAATAACGATAGTGTGGCCTTAAAATTACCTTATCCGCACCATTCTACTTCGTCTCATTTTATGGTCCAACATCTACAAAACCAAGATAATAAGAATAACGATTGTGTGGCCTTAAAATCACCTTATCCGCACCATTCTTGTACAAATGATAATTCAAGCTCACTATCTTCTACGTTTTCCCCCAAATGTTCTGCTTTCTCTGATTTTAATCCTCTTCCTGTCAATAATAACAACATTATAAAAAAGACTGATGATGTCCAACCCACCCGATTTAACGCTAGTGCAAATTTAAATAGTGAAAATATTCTAGAAAAGTTTCAACAATTTCTGGAAGATGAACAAACTGACAAACCATCAAGCGGCGTGGATTATTGGCATTTATTGGACGTTTTTTGTCGCAGGATGGATAATAAATAAGCACCCCTTTTTAATTTCAACATGTAGTAATTTTTATGATGACAGCTTGTTGTAATGACGACATTATTTAAAAACAAAAGTTTTATGAATATGACTGACATCTCAAAACCCTTATAAGAAATTCAACATAAATTGAAGTAACTAATTTCGCATTGAAGACTCTATGTTAAAATTTGATGACTTTTATCATAAAATAAATAAATATTTATTTTATGACTAATGTTTTAAATTTGGGTTTGATGGTGGTATTTATTGTGTTGGTAATGGGCGCCAAATTTTGTCATTCGTGAATTGGGATGTAAAAATAAGTAAAGGAAAACCCGTTATAAAAGAACTCTGGCCGCTAACTTTATTAAGCTTTCGAAAAAAAAATTTTTGCCACAATTATTAGAAATAATTTTAACTTTTTTAGAAACTGTGATACAATATTTCATTTATAGTACTGATAATCCTTTAATTAAAGGCCGTGTGATTCATTAACTCACTCATTGGTTTATTGTTGATTGATCTACCGGTTGATTGATTGGTCGATTAATTCATTCATTCATTCATAACAAACGAGAAAGAGAGATGATATATATATATATATATCGCAATTTAAAATTCAACTGTGATAAAAAAAACTCTTTTTCTTTCTACTTGCGTGTGGAAATTTTTAACGCACGAGTAAAATATTGATGTTTTAACAACATATAATAATCAATCATTTGTCAGCATTATTGTTAATAAATAAATAAAGTTAAAAAGTAATGAAAGAGGAATATTAAAAAGATTACGACAAAATAATTGGCGATTAGTGACATTATTAGTATTATTGTATTTCTCACGAAATAAACAAATTATTTAAAGTTAAAATTACATTTCGTATATTTTGTCATTTTTTCATTTCAATTATTATTACCATGAACAACAACAGATTAATGGAGTAATAAATGGACCTTTTCTAGAAAAAACGACCATAAAAATAGATTTTCTGAATATTTAATTTATTACTTTTAAAAATTTACCAAATACCATTATTTTCATTTTAGTAGAATTGTTATGTAAATTCTGGTGGCTTGGAATTCCTTTCGAACTTCTTAAAGAATGGTAATTTTTAATAAAATTGGCCAATTAAATATTCTTGTGGCTGTTCCATTAATAGATGATAGAAAAAAAAGCTTTCTTTAGCAATGATATTTGTATACAAAAATTTGTCAACATGTAGAAAATCCATTAAAGACATTATTTGTCCATAACCTACTGCTTATTAATTTTAATCTGTTTTTTATTATTATTTAATATATATATTTTTATAACATCTAATTTTTTTATTTTTAATTATTTCACGTTTTTACCAAACATTTAATTGTCTAAAGATAGTTCTTTTTTTATTTAAATTATTGTGTGTAACAATAAAAATGATATGTAGATCACGCGTAAATTACTTTAAAAAAGTATCCGGGCCTAGCAATTCTCCATTTTTTTTTGTTAAGCAAACCGGGGTCTAATATTTTTGCCAATTATGATCTTTATGTTATAGACTAACTTTATGTAAAAATCACAAATTTGGTCAGATAAAGTCGAAGGGTGTTTTTGCTAGAAAAGCTCCCAAATGGTGTTCTATTGATCATACGGGGAACCTTTAATAGAAAAAGACAATAATGTGAAAGAAACAATTTTGAATTAATGCTATATATAAATTTCCACTTGGAATATTTGGATTAGAGATTTTTCATAATAAATTTTCTATTGAAAGTCCATATTATTTATTGTTTTTAATTGTTAATTACTAATTATGATGATTATGATGGTTTATTGGATGTGCAACAAATCCAATTGTTATTAACTTACATTGGTATTAATATTGTGTATAATTAGTAGACATACTATACTGCTTTTTAAATTAGACACCAAATTTATGCGAAAAGATAGTAGATAATGATTATAGAAAGTTTCACGGTGAAGAAATGTTTTCAAAAAACATTTCAATATTAATATTCACAGTAAGTCTCGGTTAACGGATATTTTTTTCCACGAAACTTATCCATTAAAGACAAGAGATTCGTAAATTTTCAAGGTAAAAGCCAAATTTTCTATAATTATTTTTATCTCGATTTAACGGATTCAAGATATTTTAATATTATGGATAATAATGATCCTTGCCTTTTTTGGCCAGTCTAATTTTCTATGATAACATATTAATATCCTCTATTGATACGAAACAGCGAATAATTTGAATAAGACGAAATTTTTTATCGGTTATAGAAGTGCCCAAGAAGCAAATCAATGTCTAATTGACAAATTTATGAGTCAAAAATGATATTAATATTATCGTTATATTTTTTTTATATATATTTATTTAATTTTTATTATTATTATTATTATTATTATTATTATTATTATTATTATTATTATTATTATTATTATTATTATTATTATTATTAAAATCATTAAATAAAAATTTTTTTTTTAATTTAATTTATATCACGTAATTTTATCATAAATTTCGCTTTTGCAAATCTCTTGGTTTAATGGATAAATTTCGTGGAAAATTTTATCCGTTAATCGAGACTCAATGGCAACGATCATTTATTAAGAAGGGAATTATAGCGAACAACTATAACTATGTCAATTGATGTAAAGAGTTCAAATAATTTCGGCAAGATCGTTTATTAAGAGAAGCAGTTTCGGCAACTGATATATTTTTAATATATAGAGTAATTATTTTATGATTTCCTATTAGGTGAACAATGCCTGATATTTTTTACCAGTTATAATTTTATTATTATGTTTATTATATGATAGTAATAAATTAATATTATCACATAAACCCCAATTTCGGACAAGGAAATTTTCGCTAGAAAATCTCAAATCAATTTTGGTCAAGTATGACTAAATCGATAATGATTTGTGAAATAATTCCCGCTCTGGAAATTATTTCTCCGACAGTTCCCCCAATTGGTAAAATATTCAAAACGATATTTGCAATAAATCCTATTTTATAAAAAACATTCCGTGAAAAAAGCAACTTTCTAAAAAAAGAAATGCGTTAAAACAGTTTGCTCATTCTGGAAGAATATTGTATAATATTGATTGATGACAATAAAATAAATTGAGTGAATCAGACTAAATAAGCCTTTGCATAAGTTTCACAAATTAAAGCTTGTTATGGTTATTTCTTTTATTCAACAAAAATTTTTTTGAAAATCAAGTTTCTTATATCCATTTTAATTATAGCCTGATTTTGTAGACATATTTCGACCACTGGCAAAACAATCCAAATTTGACTTAGATTAAACATACAGTAAACATTTGTTAAGACAACCAAAGACAGCTTAGTCAACTCTTGTGTTGCATCCATCAACCGATCAAGACACTTTTTTAGACCAAAGATAAGTTGTCACTTTAGATTATGGATTTTCTGGTTTCTCAGGATCGGGAAAACTCTGACTCTATGGTGCCTAAATAACACTAACGCAAATCTCGAAGGCTGATCGGTAAATTTTTCCAGTTTAGGTAATGGTTTACGAAGACTAGCCCCTATTACTATTACTATAGTGATGTTTTTTCAGCTTGAGTTTCCTTTTTTTGGATTTAAATTTAATTCACTATTAACAAACTGTATCAATATAGATAGGTTACTGTAGCAGCCGGTCAAATCTTATTATTTTGTGAAATACCAAATTTGGGAAGATGTTTCTAATCAACTACAGTCAAGCCTCGTTTCAACGAATTTTATATATATATATCGTGTTACAACGACAACCAATTTTTTTGGTGGGATTTTTGTATAAGTATTAATCACGTTACAACGAATTCACGTGATAGGCAGTATCCAAATTAAAAAATAATGGTTTTATATCGTTAAATACTAATTAATCAAACAAAATAAAATTCACTTTACTAAATAATGAGAAGACTGGTATTCTTCCATTGTCAGACAATGTAGAATAGAGATTGAGGATGTGACTAAATTTAGAAAGTGATCTTGAAAATTTAACAAATAAAATTTTCTTTCAGTTCAACATTGACTGCAAAGGAATATATATCGATTGATGGTAAGTTAACTAATAGTGAAATGGTAACTGAGTAAGAGATTATTAATTATCTTGCACAAGTTGAACATGACACAAATATTCCCAATATTACAGTCAATGCTTTTGAAACTGCTTATAATTTTCTTGAACAACAATTTAAAATAGATTATAATGAATTAAAAAATTTTAAATCATTAAAAAGAAAAATGACATTATATATTACTGGTTATTTCAAATAAATAATTTTATATGCGTCGATCATTGCTATTACTGAAATAGTTAAAATTTTGTTTCAACGAACTTTTGTTTCCCCATAGATTCGTTGAAACGAGGCTTGACTGTAATCACAAACTGTTTTGTAGATGTAACATTTAATTACCAAATATATCTAAATAATTTAATAATAATAAAAAAACCTTAAATTAAACTTCGAGGAAATGACAATGCAAAAATCAAAGTTAAAATTTATTTGCATATTTACTTGTTTACTATTCTATAATCGCGAGTTTTATTGTTGCATCATATGTAATTAAAAAGTTTATTTTCAAAAATAAAATGACAAAATAAAAAATTTATAAAAAAAAAGGAAAGAGTGAAAAATATTTTTCTAATAGGTCAGCACTAGTTTATAAATCAAACAATGGTCAGGACAAAGAATTAAATACGAGAATTTAGTGGTTTAATTTATCATAGTGATGTTAGCTGACTAAGCCAAACAACTCTTAGCTGGCTAAAAAAAAAAAAAATCTTAACACTCATTTTTACATCTGGAATTTTAGTGAAGAATTCAGTGGCATAGACATTTAATTGAGATGGCCCATCTGCATCACTTAGAATGACAATAAAACATACATTTGCACAAAAACAAAATACAATACATCATAGCAGGATAAAAGTTATAGAGTTTCTATTCGCAATACTAGTCCTTATTTTAATTCGAATTATTATTATTTCGTTTTATTGAAACTATTCGTTCTATTC